GTTGATTCGGTTTGATTTAAGCATTATCAGTTAGTTTATAGATTTTTTATTTTTAAATATGTTAAATCAATAAGATATTTTTATATGTTTTTGGTTTTGATCCTTAACGGTTCAATTTTATTTTATTTTTGGTTAAATTTAGACCATTGGCCTTTTTATTTCCAAATAATTATGTACAAGATGGGCAACAAATGTGACCAACTAACAACCACAAAACAAAACTGGATAGTCCAGCCCCTTAATTCTAACATAACCAATGAGATTTCCTAATCCATACTATCACTCTTCTTTGATCCCGCTTCCATTTCTTTTTTGAGAGTGATAGTGAACTCTACTTTTCGTTCCTTCCTCCTGTGGGTTAGCAACATACCTTTTGGTAATTAAACATCCATTGAGCTTGAATTTAGCAGCTCACAAAGGTAAGCTACCTCCTCCTCTGTCTTCTCTTGCCGTTGGATTTCTCTGATTAACTCTCTCTTTTTGATGTAGTGGTATCGTTGTCCAGTAGATGCTGAGGGATCTTTTTGGATTTGATAGAGGTGCCTAATTCTGTAGCCCTGTTGTTGGCTAAATACTTCTCTGAAAATATCTTTTGTGTGTGCTAAAAGCCTGCTATGTCCTTCCCTCTGCATTAATGAATGTTGATGTTTATCCTCCTTGTCTTTATTCGCAGTGTTGATATCTGCGCTTTATCTATATTCATCAAAACTCTACATTCTTTAGGTAGTTGTGTGAAGTTGCTCACATTTATTGGAATTTGTTGATCCAAAGTAATGTTCGCTAATTTATCTGCTACCTGATTTGCCTCCCTGAAAACATGTTTCATTATACACTGTGACTCATTTATGTGATGCTTTATTTCCTCGATCTGATCGCTGAGCTTCCAAGGTATTTTCCAATCCTTCAAAATAATATTTCTTAGGCTGATCCTTGAACAATTCAGTTTTTTGTTTAACCAATAAGAAAATGATTATAAAACAAATATATGACTTCTACAATTATTTAACGCGACAAAATAATAATGTTACTTTACAAAATGCTCATAAAATAGAAAAAGAATAATAACTAACATGGAAAGAACTATATAAACAAAGAGAAATTAAGAGGAATAGGGGTTCTTAATTTAGTTTTGACGTTTTGTACAATGTGAAGTTGTGTGACTTGAATACTAAAGGGCAAAGACATTAACTAGTAATGTGAGATTAATATTTAATATTTATGTAGGATAAACTACTACATTACTATTGTCTTAATGGGTTATCGACTTACCCAATAACACAATATTAAAAAACCAAAATCGAACTTATAACTCGATATTTTGTTTTACAAAACGATTAACCCAATAACCCAATAGCAATAAATCAATAAGAAAAAATTTGATTCAATTTATCGATCGGTTCAATTTTTGCACACCTTACCCACAATGATAACATGTGTTAAGTTTCGGAAAAAAATAAAATAAATTCCACCTCACCAAGAAAACGAAAGGAAATGGACGACACCGTTTGTAGTTGGATGAGCGTGTCTTCTGGTAAATGTTGTACGATAAAATCTCACAAATTTCAATTTTCTCCGAAAGCATAGAGAAAGTGACGAGACGAAAGAGAATTCATTTCTCTTCTGATCTCTCTTCTCTTTTTCTATTCTTCTATATACAAGTAAGTTTCTTCACATTCTCAAACAGTTTTTTTTTTTTTTTTTTTTGTGAAACTGCAAACTGAGATTGTTCGATTTTTGGCCAATTTCGTTTCCAAATTGTATTTTGAATTAGTCTGCATCAGTTTTTATTTCGAATTTTGCTGTTTGCATCCGATTTATGTATGAATCTTGTGATTGATGCCGTACAATTGATTAGCTAACTAAGTATGTGGAATTGAAGATTTGTTTTTGTATCTTAAATTTAATTTTGATTCGTTATTAAGAGATGATGCTAATTTACCACAATAATTGAGTCTACTTCATTTAAGCTTTCAGATGACTATGATCTGCAAAATCTGGATGCAAAATCTGGATTTAAATGGATAGAGTAGATTTACAAATGCTGAACCCAACTAGGTTGGAATTGAGGCATAGATGATAAACGTAACTAATGTTTATTGAAAATAACCTCCCCACCTTAAAGCTTAGGACTTCTATTTAAATAAAGAAAGCCAGATGTATCTACTATAGTCATCCACTTATAATAGTAAGTAAAGTAGCTATATTCCGTTCTAGGAATAAGGTAACTTTCTTTTCCGGTATGTGGAGTTTTCTTTCGTTGTTACAACAGGCTGAGAGCAGTGCGCTGCTCCCTTGTATTTGGGGGAGTTGGAAGCTGTTCCGCTCCTCGGGACTTTCTTTATTCTTTTTTCGTTAAAACAAGTACAACTGAAAAAGACGACTAGGAATTTAGATTGACAGCGTACCTGAGAACTCATGCCTACAGACCTTCCAAGGTAGTGGTAAGGTCTGCATATAACCCAACTTGTGAGATTACACTAGGTATGTTGTTGTGTAATAAGGGTAACTAAAGTTTATCGTAAACAATCTCCCTACCTCCCAAGCTACTGGTAAGGTCTGTATACAACCTCACTTGTAAGAGTACACTAGACATGTTACTGTAGTTATTGTAATAAGGGTAGCTAAAGTCTATCAGAAACAACCTCTCTAGCTCCCAAGGTAGTGGTAAGGTGTGTGTACAACCTCACTTGTGGACTACACTAGGTATGTTGTTGTTGTTGTATAAAGGGTAACTAAAGTTAATTCGAAACAACCTCTCTACCTCCCAAGGCACAAGGTCTGAGTACAATTGCACCTGTGGATTACACTAGGTATGTTGTTGTTGTTGTAATAAGGGTAGCTAAAGTCTAGCGGAAACAACCTCTCTAGCTCCCAATGCAGTGGCAAGGTCTGTGTACATCCTCACTTGTGGGTCTACACTAAGTATGTTGTTGTTGTTGTAATAAGGGTAACTAAAGTTAATCTGAAGCAACCTCTCTACCTCCCAAAGTAGTGGTAAGGTCTGAGTATAACTGCAGTTGTGGGATTATACTAGGTATGTTGGTGTTGTTGTAATAAGGGTAGCTAAAGTATATCGGAAACAACCTCTCTAGCTCCCAAAGTAGTGATAAGTTTTGTCTACAACCTCACTTGAGGGATTATACTAGGTATGCTGTTGTTGTTGTAAAAAGGGTAACTAAAGTTAATCCGAAACAACCTCTCTACCTCCCAAGGTAGTGGTAAGGTCGGAGTACAACCGCACTTGTGGGATTACACTAGGTATGTTGCTATTGTTGTAATAAGGGTAACTAAAACAAATAAAGGAGGCATACAATTTACGTGATTCTGTTGATGTGGCCTAGTTCATGAGTAGTGATAAGCAATTTCACTATGCCTACAGGTTACATAGATAAAATTAGACATAGAACTGTAATTATTTTCCCTAACACCTAATTTTTTGAAAAGATACTCTCTATTTTGAGAGGAGAAAACAGGTTTGAGAGTATTTGTCGAATTCTGAAATTGGTGCATTTGAAATGAATGAATCCTGTGCCAAGTTATAGCAAACGAGTGAAGGAGTCACGTGGGTAAAAATGTGGCCAACAAGGTCTTCGAGTTACTTGGCCAAACTGTAGCTATTCCCAGAGTACCTGATAGAATAACCTTACCACAAAATACTCTTTATTTTTGAGACAAAGAGAAAACACGTTGAAACTTTCTCAAATTCTGAATTTGGTGTGCCCATAATGCACGAAACCAACGTGATTCTTTTGTCATGATTTTTCCTTCTGCATATTTTCCTTTTGTTAGCTTAATTTGTTGGGGAGCTTGAACTGCCTATTCGGGGCACATTTTGAGGTGGATAATCAAGAATTCTCCCTACTGACTGTGCAAAGTGAAATTAGAATGTGAAGAATGTCATGAGTTTTGGACCAAAGCCTGATGTTTAAGTGGAAAACGGTAGAAGCGCAGACCTATTTACCTTCCGAGTTTCGAATTGTGAACTAACTATCCCTCGAGGATTTTCCGGTAATCAAAAAACTATAAATAAACTTTTTTGATTATTGTGGTTACCAGGCCGCCTTGCATGCACCTTGACTAATTCCACATAGTACCTACTACTCCCTCTAGCATAGAGGGTAACTTTGTTGACCAAAGCTTGGACAATGAGAAAAAATGAACTAGTGTTTTTGCCACTGCTGCTGGTTGATATTGAGAGCTCATAGTTGTCAACACACTTTATTGACCACTGGACCACACCCTTCGATGTCACAAAATGTAACTAATGTCAAAAACTTATAAGGGTGAAATACTAATTATATGCTGTTTCTCGGTTTTGAAAGACTTTTGGTATGTAGTAGTATATGCTTGCATCTAATGTATATGTAGAGGGAAATGTTGCAGATAATGTATCAAATCATATATGGATGTAAGATCAACTGTGTGATATAACTGATAATTTTAAGTTTTTTATTGACCTCTCTTCTTGTGGTAACTTGACATATTATTATACAAGGCATTGTGCTGAGGCATTTCTATGCCAAGAAGCAGTCCTGACAGACTAATTTTTATGATGTTAATGATTTTGAAAGTGGTTTCGCTGGTTTCCTTAAATTCGAATCCCTCAATAGCACAAAAGGTGTGTCACCCATTTGGAAAGCCTTGTTCCTTATACTTTAGAAACAGCTGTTGAACAGCAATTTGTTTGACCTTTATTTCAATTTACACCTCTTAGCCAGGTAGGTAATATCCATTTTCAGTCTGCCGGGAGCCGGTTTGTTTGTATGCGTGCTAGATGATTGATTTTGCGAGTTCTGTAGAGAATGAAGTATTCCTGTATTTTATTGGTAGTTAATTCAAAATGGGACAATAAAGTGCAACAGTTTGTATTTGCACTTTATCTGAGAGACCTTCATTAATGATAGGTGTAAACATAATCCACCTCTTAGTTTATGTATAATTGCTTGTGATTTTTGAATTTGCTATTATCTTGAGATGGTAGATTCATGACTTGTTATCTTCAGTGTAATTCAGGTTCATAAGAGAAGCAAGAAGTTTTTAAGACTGAACCAAGATGCTCCTTTGAAGACAGTGGTTCATCTTTCAAGTACATGCCAAGTTCCAAACTCAAGTAATTGTCATCAATAGCGATTTAAGTTGCCCCCTGATATGTGGAGATCTATTTCAAATGCCATCACAAGCTTTGGACAGAAGAAGGAATGTGGTACGCCCAGTCAAGCTTGCCGCGAATTCTCAGATGACGATGATGCCTATTCTAATGCCAGCAGCGAGGAAGAAGGGCTTGAATGCCCAATATGCTGGGAGTCTTTTAACATTGTCGAAAACATCCCCTATGTCTTGTGGTGTGGTCACACACTTTGCAAGCACTGTCTGTTGGGGCTTAAATCAGCTTCTTGGAAGTTCTCCACTCAACAGGTCCAGATTCCATTATTCATTTCCTGCCCATGGTGCAATATGCTGACATTTCGGTTGGCGTTGAGCGGGAATCTCAAATCTCCTAGCAAGAATTTCTTCCTCCTCTGGATGGTGGAAAGCAAAAATGGTGACAGGGGGGAATCTCCATCTACCATATGTAGGGATCATCAACAAGAAATGCCCGTCCGGTGCACTTCAGTTACGGGGAACAACACCTCTGTCATGAATTATAGGAGGGTTCGTCGTCTAGGATCTCCAGGATCGAGCAACAGTAGTTATAACCATACTAGTGGTACACCTGCATCCCAGAGGGCCCACTCTTCTCTTCACAAGTCCCTCGATCTCTTTATCCGCATTACAGCCAAGTTTCCGTTAGTTCTCGTGCTTCTTCTGCTTGTTATGTTTGCAATACCTTCGTGTGCAGCCGTCCTAGCGCTCTACTTACTGATCACAATTCTCTTTGGACTCCCATCTTTCCTAGTATTGTACTTTGCCTATCCTGCTTTAGAGTGGCTGATCAAAGAGATCACAACTTGAAATGTTTCTCTTTCAATTTGTTTGAGAGCTCTCTCATATCAAGGATGGTGAAAGTTTCTTGTTTCATGAGAGGTCTAAGACCTTAGGGCTCGTTTGGTACGAGGGATAACTAATCTCGGGATTTATTATGGAATGAGTTCATTCAAGTTTGGTTGGGATAAATTGCAGGATAACTTATTCCGGGATTGTAGTGTTATTTTTGTCCCACATTGAGGGTAGGATAACAATCATGGGATAACTTGTTCCCCAACCTAAGGAGCCCTTAGTTTTTCTAGTCTCAATATGTAGTGACTATTATATTCTTTTTCCTACCAAAATTGGAAACCCTACCTTAAAGAAACTTAGATAAGTCAGCTTGGTTTTTGAATAGAGTTTAGATCGTGATGATTAGAAGAATTTGCCTCAATAACAAAACATGGTTCCTCTATCATGTTCTTTCATACATCAATAGACCATTTCATAATGTGGTTTGAGCATATTATAGGTTTCTTCACTCCTGTTATTTTCTTGAGCCAATCGAAAACTTTTTTGTCGCTCAAGGTAGGGTAACTTTTGCGTAAATGCTATCCTCTTCAAATTTCACTATTGGAATTATACTGGATATGTTGTTTGAGTTTGTTGCAAACATCTCCTAGGAATGAAAAAAATTTCCCCACATATATTAGTCGTCAATAGATAATATTTGGAATATTTGGAAAAAGCAAATCAAGTGTTTGTTTTACAATTTAGTTTGTTATTTCAACATCAATTTGAAATAAATGACTTTCATTTTTAACACACTAAATATAAATATAAATATAAATATAAAAATAACAAACAAGAATGTAATCTTAGTGCTCGATTCAAAACTATAAACAAATCGAATAGAATTCATTCTTTTAAAAGATCTTAATTCAAACCCAAAAACTTAAATTTTGAACTCTTCGTCCAAAAAGCTAAAATATTTGGTTCATGCAAGGATTAGTAAATACTCCCTCTATTTCAAATTAACTGAATTTTTTTTTTGGGGGGAGGGGGGGGGGGGGGTAGAGGGGGTTTCATTGTTCAAAGTTTAAGATGAATGTTTGAAATTTTTTCCATATTTGTCCTTTCCTATTGTGAAGTTTGATATTTTCTATGAGATAAAATGCAATATTTACAAAGTTACATTTATGATTTCACTAAGGACAGTAGTAGAAAGTATTGTTTAAATTATTTCCTTAAATGTTTTTCTTAATAAGTGTGCATTGTCTCACAAACTCGAAATAGAGTGAGTACAAAAAATACTTAGGAATATTAATAATGGAGAAAATGTTAAATGATAATTAATAATGAAGCTAATGTTATACCATGATTATTTCATTTTTATATGACATCCTTATTATAAATAGTTGGTCTATAATACTTGTCATTTTATAAAATCAATGCATAAATTACAATATTCTTCCTATTTTACCCTTGTGAGTTATTAGCCTTGAAAATATATATTTGACTAACATAGAAAAGCTAAGTAAATAATTCATGTTCATAGGCCAAATTTATTAATCAACATAAATTAATTCATATTCATTGATTGAAAACTTGAGTTCAAAAAAAATTAAATAAGGGTAGAATAGTAAATTTACTTAGATTTTTTAATGCACGTGAAATCTAAAATGGTGACATATAAATAGAAACAAAGGGAGTAGCAAATAGAATGTTATGCATTAATTAATTACTCTAAAAAGGATATTTTTATGTTTCATACTAGATATTGGTGCCCGTGCCCGTGCCCATGCCATCACGGGCCCAATATATGTTAATTTTTTTTGTCTCAATTTATGTGATATAAATAAATATCGAGAGTCAATAATTTTTTTTATAATTTATAAATATTTAAAGTTACTAATTATTGTAATTTATAATATTTTTATATAATTTTCAAATAGTACATGTAACTTATTCTGTCTCAATTTATATGGCATCAATATAATTTTGAGATTCAACCAAATTTTTTATGTCATTTAAATATTTTTAGTAGTCAATTATTGTGTTTTATAATACTTTTTATGTTATTTTTAAATGAGATATGTTATTCCTTCTATCTCAATTTATGTGACACTGATAGACATGAGTCAATCAAAATTTGTATGTCTTTTAAATTGTTAATTATCTCAATTTATGTGACACTGATAGATATAATTCGCACGTTTGTATAATTTGGAATTTGTAATATAATTTGTATAACTTTTGTATAATTTGGAATTTATATAATATAATGTATATAACTGTTTACACTTCTGATGTTTGTAATATACAACCTGTGAATTATATAAATGAGATAGCTTAAACAATAGGTACAACCCGTAAATATGCAAACTATAGCTATGGAGCATAATTAAGTTTATTATAGCGACTATTTGCGAAAGTTCCCCTTTAACTTAATTGTATTCTTAAAAAATTATCCCAAAAAGTAAATTAACTATATTATTTTATCCTTAGATTTTATTTCTCTAAAATAAATAATTTCGGCACAATGATTTTTATGAGCTATAAGACTACTATTTTGATTAATTTCCATTTTTGATTTCTCTCATTCGCTTCAGAGTTGTGGAGACTCATCAACGTTTCTCTGATGACATAGTATGAGAGATCTTAACATATGTTTTAGTGAAGTCTTTCATGTGATTCAAAAGTGTTTCTAAATCTTGAAATACTATGATGCATCATCCCACTATTGTCCGGTCACACTACATGCAGGGGCGAGCCAGGGGTTCATCCGAATCTCCTTCGACGGAAAATTATATTATTTATATATAATTAAAATAATTTTTTATGTATATATATATATAGTAGATGTCAAACTTTTTGATCCCGTTCCTATCAAAATCGTGGTTTAAGCTGCAAATGATGGCTTTCTTTTCTTGATAGGTCAAATTCATAGTTCCTTCTCGCATGAAACTAGGGGATAAAGCAAAATTAGATGCTCAATACAGAAAGATTGACCGATTATTGTGGTCAAATTTCAAGTCTTAATCCATTTTAAGAGAATCCTCGATTGAATTCAATTAAATCTCCAATTTCAATCCGTTTTAAGACTCTTTATTTGCACTGATGTAAGGTATGTTTCTATATTGAAGAAATGAATTACTATCTATTTTATATCTTTTAGGATTTATCTATCCATTTCTAACTTTTTTTATAAAAAAAAAATCTTGAGTTGAAATTCAAATTGTGGTTTTAAAACTTAAATAACAATATATTATAATTATTGGAATTAATCGGATCAAATTGGGCAGGTCAAGAGCCAATTTGTGTTTAAGCCCATTTGAGCCCAAAATAAACTTGGACGGGTCAAAACCCAACCCAATTTCTATTTCAACCCATTTTAATATCTCCAATTTCATTTTGGAACAACACCAGAAAGAAAATTTGAAATGATCTCTAAAAGTTTGAAGATGAAGACATGATAAATGATTACTGGAGAAGAAGATTTGGAGATGTTGAAGGTTTGCAGATTTGAATAATTAGATGTTCTTAAGATTTGAAGATGCAAAAAAAGAGTTTTGAGCAAATGAGTGAAATCTCTAAAATCATAAATAGAAGGATCAAAAGATGACACAAATGCTTATAGACTTCTAACTGAGAGCACCATCATCACCTATATTGATACACAACTTTCGGGCCGATGTTTAGGTAACAAATTCAACTGTACAGTTTTTCGGTAAACACTATTTTTATCTAAATTTGCATTGACTATATAGAAATAAAAAAAAAGTGAATAAATTCAAACATGCTGAGATCAAGAATAATGTTAAATAGAGTAAATTAACTACGGCTTGCATTAAGAATGCTAGTATTAGTAATGATTACATTAATTATACATAGATTATTTCTTATGCATTGTTTTTAACCTATTCCAGTGAAAATATTTATCCACATGGAGTGCCACTTTGGCACCTAATAAAGCATGCATACCATCAGCTACTCAGCGAAGTGTTTTTGCACATAGATAATAACTATAATTAGGGTGTGAAACTCAAAAAAATAATACGATAATTTAGGTATGTATTTGTATCATTTAACGAAAAAATGAAAAACCTATCCAAAACCTGTCATATCAGAGAGCATATTCTCTACCCTTTCATATTAACACTGAAATCGCATCATGTATAATCAAAAACCAAATGCAAGAATTCAAGGCAAGTGAGAACTGATTGAGACGTATGTCGCAATTACTTAATAATGATTCATAACGTGGTACTATTTAACTACAGCAACCGCAACTAAGTTTGGTTGATTACTTCTTTGCACAAAAAAGATGGAACCTTTTTTCTCATCTGGCAACTAAGAATAGATACTTGACAGAACAGGGACCGGCTGCTTCTTTCGACAACCTAGGTACACTTTGCTCATGAACAAATAACTGGAGTTGGCTTTTTCTAAACAAGGAAATCTGCGTCCGAAAGTTCTAGCACTTTGTGCAGGCCAATTGGTTTTACACCAGGCCGGAACGTGTTCTCTTCAATGTACCTATGACATATTTTATCATATTATTAGGATTCGCACAAAGCCAAAGAATGGTTAGTAGCAAAAAATGAACACTCACATTTCCTTCAAGAAAGGGTGTTTGTAGAAGGCATCTGGAATCCTCCCAGAAAATTGATTATGATCGAGATACCTGAAATCAGATTCAGCTTCAGACATCAACTATCAAATTCATGCAGAACTATTTTTCTTTTTGGTGCAAAAGCTACCAGTATACAATCAAGAAGAGCGAAGGAATGATGTGTAACACCTGATTTGTCAAGGGTGAAGAACGTAAAAATAAATACATAAAAGGAACAAAGCACTCACATACGCAACTGCAAGGACCATTTGGGCTTTAACGGAACATCTAGGATATTGCAACTTGCAAGGATCATTGGTCATCTAGTTTGCATTTTGAATCTGAGTGGCTAGCTTTAAGGAACATCTAACTTTAATATTCTAACTCAGACTTCGTCGTTAGCTTTCTTGCAATAAATTTACAGTTTCTTACTCCTAATCAATAATGTATCATCAGTACAGTCTCGCTAACAACTGATATATCGATTTGCATGCTATCTATTGAATATTTGTTGTTTAATGCAACCCAATCCAAGAAGAAACCCATGGACCTCACAAATTAATCTAATATTTTCAGAAAAGAAGTTGCTTGGCTGGTTTTGGGAAAATATCCCTTACCAGTTACCACCTTCATTGGAGTAAACTTGTGCTGAGCTTCAGTTCATGGCTCAAGCATCACTTTGACAACACTAACAACCACTTAAATGGAGAAGGCCCTAGTTTCAGTTCGTGTGGTTTAGCTCCAACACCAACACTTTAAAGGAAAATATTGTGATAAAAGGTTTTGTCAAAGGAAATATGTGGGTTAAGCTTCAAAACAAGGTTCCCATTTCCAACACAGCATATCTTGAGCAGGGATATGTATCTGACACAAGTAGACTTGTCTCTTGACATTCTTTGGTTGTTTGACCAGCAAAATGCAGGTCCTTCTGCATTATCCAAGCCTCTCACTTGTACAAATAATGACTTCTAATCTGGGGGATGGAGGGGAATGTAAGTGTTGAAAGACCATGGATTTTGGAAGAAAGAAGAAAATGGGTAGGAAATGCAATGGATATTCACAACCAGGTGCAAAATCAGCTTTGTTTAATCGCTTAAAGACTTGCATGCATCAGTGTTCATATTTTTTTGAATTATACATGCAGTTTTTTTAACACGTTATACCAATAAAACTATTATGTTCTAACAGACAATCTTCTAATTAAAGTTTAACACGTCATTCATGCATCTCTGTACCAGTGCTGTTGCTACATAGCTCAACTGAAATCTTGAGTACATGAGAAGTTTTACTATTGAGATGGATTGTGTTTTTTGTGCAAAAATTGATGTGAACACTCTTGCATCTAATTCTCCAGGCAATTTCTATACATTACTACTTGTCGGAGGAAATCATTACGGATAAGGTCCAATAAGGTCAGCTGACAAGCTTCAAGTCCATCTAATGTTTTTGTCACAGCATCCATAAATTGCACAATCCTCAAAATTTATCTCCTTAAGAAAGAGACCCTTGCAAGACCACATTAGCCAACTAGTCCCGATTTCATCTGTTTTGAGTAGAGGGTCTATTGGAAACAACATCTCAACCTTTTTTAGGTAGGGGTAAGGTTTGGGTACACACTACTCTCCCCAGACCCCACTTGTAGGATTACACCAAGTAGTATGTTGTTTTTGTTCATCCTTAAGTTGAACAATCCTCAAAATTCATCTTTTTAAGAAAGAAAGATCCTTGAAAGACTGCACTCACTAGACAATCATTGGGACATCACATCCAATATGCTAATATTTTTATAGGTTAATAAAGCAATCTATTGATAACAGAAAACAGCACTAAACTACTGCATGATAACACGCAGGTCCCTGATCATATCTAACGTGGTGTCTAAATCATGCACAAAGACCAGGTTGCACCAAAAAGCTATCAAAGAAAGAGATCTCAACTTAAGGCGAAGGATGTTTTTGTATTTGCTTTCAAAAATTCTGAATTTTCTCGGTCCAAACTGTCCACATACAGTATAATAAATGAGTAGCTAAGAGCATAGAGGAGGACTTACAAGTAAGTTAACTTAGGAATATGAGCAATGCTATATGGTATAACTCCTGTCATCTTGTTGTAGGATAGATACCTGTAATAACCAGAGCAATCAAATTAAGCATAATAATATTTATCAACCAGTACAGGAGAAATTAGCTGTTATTTGTCCAAAGACAAGCATTAATCGCGGAGAAACTTTCTTCCCGAAACTTACAAGATCTCCAAGTTCGTCAGATTTGCAAGTTGCGCTGGAATGCCTCCAGTAAGATAATTATTGTTTAAGTATCTGCAAGTTACAGCAAGGGTTATCCTTGAACTAGCATAGAATTCATAACACTTGCAGCAGGATAACTTCATGCGATATGACAATTAAACAAGAATAATCAACTTACAGGTTGCGGAGAACCGGAAAACATCCTTCAATACGTATGAGTTCTCTTATAGTTCCAACCAAACGATTGTTACCAACATCCCTGGAATTGCATGAGATCAAAGTGAAATCCATGTGTGACACAGGTTCCATATGTTAAACAAGAGAAGAAGTTAAGATGGTATCATACAGGTGTCGAAGATACTGTAAGGAACCCAGTTCAGGTGGAATTCGTCCAATAAAATGATTTTCATGCAGATGGAGATAACGAAGTTCAGGAAGATTAGCAAGCTCCTTAGGTATTTCGCCTTTGAAATTATTAAAACTTAGGTAGCTGAAAAATATACATATCAGTTATTAGTCTATAACAGCAAAATAGATCTATGGATAAAGAGCACAGCTAGAGAAGCTCAAAAAGCACTCACAGATGTGTTAACTGCTTTAGTTCACCTATTTCAGGTGGAATGACATCTTGCAGCTTATTCCACCTTACGTTTCTGGTAAAAAGAATCAGGAGAAGGAACTAATCAATAATGCAACATTACAACACACTAGGAAACTAGAGGATATAATTTCATATTAGTATGTTGGGTAAAAAAACAATAAAAGTAATTTTTAAAGTTAACATTCTGGGACAACATGGAGGTTCCTATGGACAAAGGAAAACTTAAAGGTAGGATACAAGCAGCAGAAAGTAGATGTTGAGATATACATCTAATACAATCCTAAAAAGAGTATAGAAGGCCTTCTTAGTTAAGTGACATTTCCTTGATAATAAACCTACTCTGTTTTTATTTTTTAGAATATAAGCCTACGAGTATATATTCTCTCAGTTGAAAATTTATCTTTCTTCTTCGGTGCACATTATATCAGGCAGACTCCCTCTCACTCCCTTCTTTGGGATTAATCATTAATCAGGTAAGCTTTTCCTTGTTATTAACACATTTCATCTTGATGAAAAGCCATGTACTTAATCACTTTGTACAACACAGTTGAATCATATTAACATCATCTAGCTAGGTGTAAATGGAGAAACAAATGTTAATCCTGAAACTGGAGAAACAGGCTATTCGGAGACACAGCATAAGCCCTAAACATAAATATCACTTCATAATTGCTACTGAATATAGATACTTCAATAGGAGTATACAAGTAAAGGATTATACAATATTTTAAGACGCTTCAAACGCCCAATTTGAGAAGGAAGAGGGCCGGTCAGCTTGTTATTATGCAGATCCCTGTCATATGAAAGAATATTATGGATTAGGAAGTTCAGAATGAAAATCAAAAGATCCAACAGTACAGGCACAATTGTCCACTAACTATTGCCTTAAATAGTAGTATCAAATTTGAAAATAATGACTACGCACATTATAGATAACGCCCACATTTTTTGGGGTAACAGTCAACACCCAAGCAGAACAATTCTTTAAGTTGGTTAATGAACAATTAAGACTGGAGGGTGTAAAAGTATCCATATTGGAACTTAGGGAAACTTCTCAATTTGTATGAGGTTAAAAATTCTGTAAGAAGTAGCTGAAGTTTTGTAAAAACTAGATTCCAGTACAAAGACAAAGAGAAGAAGAATCTTACAGTCTAGTAAGATCTAATAAATTAGTGACAGCAGTAGGAAATGGGCCAACAATTGAAACAGCATAAACTTCCCTGCAAGTGGTAAAACAGAAAAGAACATTGTGAAAAAGTGACAAGTAAAGATATTTCAATTCTGTGAGTAACTTCATACAGATTTGAAGCTTAGTTAGAGAAAAGCTACTTGGAACTGGTGAAGCAAACTTACAATTCAGTAACTACTCTATAATCACCCTGCGTTGAACATGTAACACCAGACCATGGAGGTAAATCACCATCACCACAAGGATCATCTCCAACCCATGCATACACCACTCTCCATCCAAGAGATGCCTTAATTTCATTCAGAGCTTTCACTACAGTCATATTCCAGAAGTTCAAATTAGTCCATGTAAACATATACATTCAGGTACTACAACTCCTTGGTTTTCTCATAAATGCAATCAATGGCCTTAAACCGTGTAAATCATTTTAATGAAATGTTAACAGAGAAAGAGTGGATATAATTGGAACTCCACAACATTTCCAACAACATTAAGTGTAGAGAGCAAAGCTATTAACCTTATGATCATGGGGTCAAGACCTACAGTGGACATTCTAATTTCTGACAAGCATTAAATTACTCGTGATCGATTATATACTTACTTATACTACAATTTAATGAACTAATACAATGTAATCATGGAGAGATATTAAATTGACATTGATTGAATGATAAATCGGTTTAACTTTCCAAGGATAGCTATATTTACCTGTAACAACTAGAAAATAGAATTCTACGAGCAAAAAAAGGGGAAAACATTTATAGTTAATGACACTCCAAGGCACTGATTTAGTTATTGATTGCAGATAATAGATAATGTATTGAACAGATCAAGATTATACATCAGACGAATAGCTATTCCTCAACAAAATCAACAAATTGCAAAGCTTGAATTACTTAACCAAGAAAACAGACATTCAGGAAAAAGGAAATTATAGTAAGAAAAGATGAAACACAATAAGTAAAACTTAGAAACAGCATAAAATCTTCCACTCAAAATATATACACGTGAGCTTAGAAGCTGCATAAAATCTAAAAAGTCCAATTACTTCCAGGAAAACCATAAACATACACTTAGAAAGCAGTGAATGCATAAAATCCAATTATTTTAGCTCAAACTATAAACTTGCACTTACAACTTCATCTAATCTATAAATTCCAATCATTTCCAACTATACATGTGCACTTCGAAACCACATATAATTTATAGAATAAATCCAATTATTTCAACTCAAACTAAAAATTTGCACTTAGAAGCTGGGAAAAAATCAATAAAATCCAATTACTACAACTCAAACTATAAAGTTGCTCTAGGACTACATAAAATCCACTTACTTTCACTCAAACTATAAGCTTTCTCTTAGAAATTGCATAAAATCAACAAAATTCAATTGTTTCCGCAGAAAATATAAATCCACCACAAACTGCACATAATCTATTAAATCCAGCTACTTCCACTCAAACTATAAGCTTTCACCTAAAAACTGGATAATATCCAATTACTACAACTCGAACTATAAAATTCAATTACTTCCACTCACACATAAGCTTACACCTAGAAATTGCATAAGATGTACAACGTTCAATATTGTTTTCGCTGAAACTACAAAAATTTCACCACAAACTGCATATAATCTACAAAATCTAACTATTTTCACTCGAACTTTTAAAATTCAATTAAACTCCACTCAAACTATAACCTTGCACCTAGAATACATAAGATCTACAAAGTTCAACATTGTTACATTTTCTCTGTAACTACAAAATTAATTTCACTTGAAGCTGCATACATACTCTACAAAATAACAAAACCAAACTATTATCAATCAAATTCAACTGATTTTCTCACCTAAATTGCTAATAAATTAGGTTTAAAAAGTAAATGGATCGAAATGTGTACCGTCACGTTTGAGGGTTTTAGAGTGAACGAGAGCGCTTTGGATCAAGGATAACGAGAAGATCAGGAGAAATACTGAAGGTAGATGTCCATGGCGAGCCATTTGAATAGGGTTAGTCACCTTCAGGGGAGTAGAATTATTGAATCAACCGGAATCCAAACGCAGAGCTATACGTACATTACTATAGTCGAGATTGAGAGAGATGATGGAAGTGAAGGAAGAAGATCTGAGTGTGAAATGAATCCTCACTTTGGGAATTTTCCTCAAAATTTAGTTTTTTTATACAACGCGCTATTTAGCTTGCACTGCGCGTCGGTGGATTTCGGGTAAGTAATTAGTACTACAGATATAATCATGTTTTATTTACATTAAAAAAAATAGCTAAAGGTTATGGAAAGTATATGCTTATTAAAGTTGGGCATAAAATACTGAAAATCGAATAATCGAACTGAATAGAATTTTTTGGTATTTCCATATTTGGTATGGTGTTCGAAAGTAAAATTTTAAAATTACGATATCTGGGTTTTGGGTTTGGGTTTAAGTTTGGTATGAGACATTAGAATTATTTGGTATTCGATATTTCCCGAATATCGAATTATTTACTCAATGAAGATCATATATCAATAGGTAGGGGTGGGCATGGTATGGCATATACCGAAATACCATATCATGCCAAAATTTTAATATTGTGGTTTTGATATTATGGTATTTGTCGTGGTAGGTATATATTTTAATTTTTTTGGTATTCGGTACAATATTTGGTATTTAGATATAACATACCGAAATATCGAAGTATATAGTTACATAAATAACATATATATTATTAAATTACTAACAAATATGCAGCCTAGTATTAGTATAAACTAAATGTTTAGAAGTTAAAACTTTGACTACTCTATTTTGATTGAAATGTATTTGAATTGTAATTGATTAACAAAATGAGTTGTTTGTACTTTATTTTGCATTTATATTTCTACATGTGTAATGTGTTAGTATGATACAATTGAGACTTTTTTTTAAAAAATTTCGAAGTCATAATACTCTATTATACGAGTATATATTAGTCGAAGTTGAACAAATTATGGTTACCGATTTACCATACCGTAAAATACCAAAATCGAACTTCAATATACCGAATCATACCGAATTAAATTGATATGGTATTGGTATAATGTTTTAAAAGCCGAATACCGAAATTACGGTATCGAAACTTTCAAATACCATACCATGTTCACCCTATCAACAGGTTCATAACTCATTAGTACAAGTTCAAAGAGAGAAAGTTAAATACTACATAAGCAACTCAAATATATATGTCTTTTAGTTGTGTCAATTTAATTTTTTGATATCTTCTTACTTGTTTGTCTTTAATTATATCATGCATCCACATAGAAAAATAGAAATAATTGGAGCGATAATATCAAATCTGTAATATAATCAACAACAAATTCCTTATTACCAAATACCATAACGAACCGAAGTTTGATTTACCGATTACCGAACCGAAATTTAAAATTTTGATATTTGGTATCTACTTTTAACTATCAATTTCGAGTTACTAAAACTGAAATTTAGAAATCTCAAACGTCCACCCTAACACAGATTATACAATATAGATAGCCAAAAGTTAGGATTGGTAAAATCAAGCCCAATCGCCCATCTCGTCTAAGTTTGGGTGGGTTATTGATCCACTCATTTATTAGGTTAACCCATTTCAATCCATTAAAAATTAGGTGATATGTAACAAACATTGAATCAAGAGAAATCTTGTCAAAATATTCTTAAAGAATTTTAAAAAAATTTGATATGTTATATATAGTCATAATAAAGAAAAAAATAATTTTATTAGGTACTAAAATATTGTAAAAGAACCAATAAAATAAGTAAAACTTAGTAAAAAAATTTGGTTGGATTGGGTCTTGACCCTTTCTGTAACTCATTATCCAACTTGACTCAAGCAAATTTGGATTGGGTCAGGTCTTGACCCATTTATTGTCTTTACCCATTATGACCCGTCCAAATTTTACTCATCCCCCTCCCCTCCTCTACCAGAAGTCATAGAAAGTATACATTGACTATATAATATAGTTTATCTATATATGAACTATACACTAACTATACATTATGAGACACACAAAAAACTTAATATAACTTAACTATACATGAAGTATACACTTGATATACAAGAAGTATACACTGATTACGCAATCTTGATCAACTCAAAATCACTTCTAAGTAATCTTAAATCTTAGATATGAAATCCTCTAGATGTTTTGAATCTTTTGATATATAATTTGCTTGAAATAATTTATGTTTGCATTACGTTAAATTTTAAAGAAAAAGACGCAAGAGACGTAGAAGCAGAGGAAGAAGCATAAGCAGACGAAGAAGAAACACACAAAATATCTCATCAAAATTTTAAAAAAAAAAGAATTTAAAAATAAAAATCATCTGCAGAAGTTCTTTAACCGGCTGAATAAATAAAAGGTCATTTTTTATAAATAAGTTTGTCAAAGGGCTACAACAACAACAAACCCAGTGAATCCCACTATGTAGGGTTTGGAGAGGATATATTGTACACAGATAGAGAGGTTGTCGAAATATCATCGGCTTAAGTGCATCAAATCCAAGTAAAATGAAAAGAAAATAATGAAGAAAGCATAGTCATCAATAAGAAAAACAGTGCAAAGTCTTTACAAAAAATACTAACAACACTAAAATATTGATAATTATACACAATAACAACATATGGCAAAACTAAAAGGGTTGATCCCTAAAGAGATTGAAAACAACGCAGAGTCGTCAGAAATCCTACACTAATGTTAGGAGAAGGGACTTAGAGTTTAAAGTAGATAATTGGATATACTTGAAAGTTTCACCCATGAAGGGTGTAATGAGATTTGGTAAGAAGGGGAAGCTTAGTCCCCAGTATATTGGTCCTTACAGAATATCCAAAAGAATTGGTAATGTAACAAGAGTTAGCAGTGATCCATCTGGTATTTCATATTTCCATTGTTGAAGAAGTGAATGGGCGATCCGTCATTGATCATACCAATTGAAGATATTCGTATCAAGGATAGCTTGACTTATGAGGAGATTCTTGTTCAGATTCTAGACCGCCAGGTTCGCAAATTGAGAACCAATGAAGTAGAATCAGTCAAGATTCTTTAGAGAAATCAGTTTGTTGAAGAGGCTACTTGGGAAGCTGATGAGGATATAAAGAAGAGATATCCGCATCTCTTTGAGCCCAGAGAAATTCCAGATCAAGGTACTAATTCTCTTCTCATTACTTTTTAATTGATATACTGAATGTGTTAGATTTGCTTGTTGGGTGTTTGAACTGAATGTTAAATGTTACACCTTAGCCTGCTAAGAGTAATCTCATTCGAGGACGAATGTTCCCAAGAGGAAGATATTGTAACACCTCTCTATTTAAAAGAACTAGAAAGAATTAGAATTAGAAAGAAACCATTTTTGGAAATAATCAAATTGGAAAGTTTGACAAAGTTAAGCTAAGTATGAGTTTTGGGTAAACTTCAAACGACCATAAATCCTAGATCAGGATGAGTTAGGTGGACTACAAGATACATAGGAAAGATCTTTGAATTATCTTTCCAACGACGCTGAGTTTGCTCAATTTTGAGTTCATAAGAGGGAGATATGCCCATTCGAAGTTGGGCTGTCTAGATAGGGAAAGTCGAAACCAGATTTTAGAGGTGTATTTTGGTCTTTTCATTACCCAATTAATTAAATCCGTTTTTAGTAAATTATTTGGGGTCTAAACTGAGTTAGTTCAGTTTATGCATTTAAGAATTACGCTAGGGCTTTAACGGAAGAGAAAGGAGGAGAAAAGAGGAGAAAAGTCAAGGCGTTCTTGGAGATTTCTTGCATAATCGAAGTCGTTTCGCTAAGGGTTGATACCTAAAGAGGTATGTGAGACTTTCATAGCGTTGGGTTCGTTCACCACGCGCCAATCATGTTTAGTTCAGTGAAATTTGTTCCAGAAAGTTGAAAGTTGATGATTTTGAATTGTGTTCTTGAATATTGGCTTTCGTTCTTGAGTTAAGTTGGGATTGTTAAGTTCTTGAGGAAATCGTGTCGATTTTAGATTCATTATGGATAGATTCCTGTGTACATATACTGGGTGTCTTAATCTAAAGAGAATTTGAGAAAAAAAAGTTGAATTTAGGCGTATTGGGGTTAGAAAACAAAGAAGGAAAAAGTCAGGCGAATCTGGGTACTAGGTCCACGTCGCAGACCTGTTCCTCAGGATGGGAAATTTTCTCTCCGCGTTGCGGAGCGGTCACGGACCCTTCTGGCTCAAAAAATTTTTTGCGACCAAATATTTAAATGCATCTTCGCGTCGCAGACTTGCTTCCAGATAGTGATTTCTTGATTGTTTCTCATGTTTAACTGTCTAAAAACACTCCTAAACATCATGAGATCTTTCCTATCACAAATCACAATCCTTGAATCCATAAATTCAAATTCAATTAAAGTTAAGAGCCAAGTCTAGAGAGTTTTTAGAGTCCCTTCAAAAAGTCTGTTGCAAATGCTTTAAACTTGTTTTTAGACTTGAGTTTTGAGTTAAGTAAGAGTAACAAATGAAGTTCATTTCTTCAAAAAGAGTCTATGGGAACTAAGTATTTCTAAAGAGTAAATGTTTTCACATTTAAACAAGAGAGGAAACACTAATTTTCAAGAGAGCCTTTGAGCTAGTTTTTGAGTAATTATCTCAAACCATAGAAAGAGATTTTGTTTTTAAACGTATGAACTGAGTATTTTGGGAGTAGTATTGAGCACCGATGTGGGGATGAGTTCATAACAACTCAATGTCTCCATAAACCATGTAGCCAACGTGGGTAGAAAAGGTCATACTTTTTAGATGATTCCTTAGTGCGTTTTAGCATAGACTGGTGGATCCACTTAGTTGAGGTGTTCTATATCCCGATAAGTTATAGGACAGTTCTGGCAGCGTGGGTGAGAAGTTGTATCATCACATAGATCATAGTGATGGTTGTCGATTAGAGAAACTCCCACGGAATTATATTACTTTACTATATGATTAAATTTGAGTTGATATTTACTGTTTAAAAGCTTTATATAAACTGCATCTTTACTGTTGTTTATTTCTGCATTGAGTTGAGTAAAGCTGAGGTCGTGTTTAGTTTTCCCCTCGCATGCTCGTACATTCAATGTACTGATGCCATTTTGCCTGCATCATTTTATGATGCAGATATAGGTAAATAGGATCAGCATCCATCGCCTCGTTGATCCAGTTTAGCACTCAGAGTCAGTTGGTAAGCCTCTTTGCTTTTCGGA